GTGGGGCGGGTAGGGGTGGCAGCGGCGGCAGCGGCGGCAGCGGTGACCGGGAGGACAGCCGCGGGGGAACGGCGGGGGGCGAGGCCTTGCACGGGTCGTGGGCGGCGAAGCGGGCGCTGAAGGACAAGGAGGCTTCGGCGACAAAGGCGTTCAGCGGGAAGAGGATTACCTTCGGCGACGACGACGACTGAATTTGTTTTGTTAAAGGGATTGGGCTTGACATTTTGTTTCGTTCTGGATTGGATTGGATTGGATTGGATTGGATTGGATTGAATCGATCTATCCTGCTGTGGTCAGACAGGTGATGGTGGTGGTGGTCGTGGCTAGACGATGATGGTCGTGGTGTTGGTTTGGGGGTATGGCCATCGGGAACGATAACGATTTGCTTGGATTCTCGCTTTACAGCTGTTGTATTGTTTCGCTCAATGTTTTCTAATTCGAAAGGTGAAAATACACTATAAGCACACAGCTTAAACACCTCTGTGTGTGACCCGGTTGATGTGTCCAAACGCGTCGAAAGTGTCGCCCAGAGTAAATGGGATGGCCAACGCAACTTTGGCGTCATGTCTCCCCAAAACCAAACAAGAATAGCAAGTGAACACCCTTTAGATAGACGACACAATTTGCGCTGTATGCGTATTGGTTGCACCTGATGAGTGTTTGGTGGTGGTGACAATTTCTTTCTGCGAGGCCTCGAGTCGTGTTGGACGTCCAAACACCTGACAACGAACGGGTCTGCTTTGGTTGAAATTCCGTTGTCTGAGGGCCGGTGAGTGGCTCTGAAGACGAGAATGAGTGCTGCGTGTGACCACCTCGAGGAGTCTGCGGCTTTTATCCTCGGCTCGAAGCGTTGGGTGTGGACAGACAGCGGTCCCTGCGTAACATGGTGTCCATGCTGGTCGGTCCTTGTGCGGTGTGGAAAACGCGTCTCTGACGCCACTCTTTCCGTTCGCGCCTGGTGGATTGAACCGCTGCCAAGAAAACATAAAGGCTGTGTTGGTTGAGATATCCCGGATGTCTCTTGAGCATCCGCCAAAACCACTTCATACTCCTACAAAACGGCAGCTCGTTGCTTATTTATGTTGCAAAAGCCGATGAGAGCCGGTGGCGTTTCTTCAGCATGAGGGCAAGACGCGTTGAGGCCCGCGGTGTTGGTATAGGACGACCCCCGTTTGTCCGCGCCCTGCCGAGCCACGTGTGTACCAAACGGTGAAGGGCCAAGGGAGTACGCAACTGGTGCTCTTTTCGAATGAACGCGTACGCTTCGGAAAAGAGAGCTGTATTCAGGAGCGTGCAAAGGGAGAACAGGGCATTCACCGAGATAGAGACCATCATCCTTTGTTTCGAGATTTATCCGGCGAGAGAGACACCAGGTTCGAGACAGATGCAAGCAAGATTGTGCACGTCCTGACCACGGTGCGTAGCCTGGTAGAACAGCCTGATGATTTTTGTCGTTGTGTCCGACTCTCTCGCGCCATACGGGCACGGGGCCGAGGCACAAATACGCTCCCGCCGCCGCCGGAGTCTTTCGTGCTGCTTGCACCAAGGCAGCCAGCCAGTCAAAGGCGAAAACACCGCCCACCATTTGCTGCGTGCGTCGTTGTAGCATGACTGCCCGCCACACGGAAACAACTGTTTGTCCAACGCCAGAAGGCTCGCCGAGCAAGAATCTCTGGCAAGCCAACCCAGGAGTCGTTCTTTTTGGTTTCTTTTTGGCTGCTGATGATGGAATTAACATTGAACCGAAAGAGAATCGACAGCCCGGTTATTCGCGGTGTACCCCGTTTGTAATACAAGACGGGAGAAAAAAAATGAAGAAATGAGAAAATCAGAATATCAGACAGCAAAGGAACGAAATGAATAGGGGTCCGCCGTGTTTGTTGAGAATTGACCTCAACATGAGTCTATCGCTGTTGTATGTACGTGCAGGAAAAACAGTATCATCAACGCAACGCGCTGACCCTCTCCCCTCCCCGGTGATTTCGATTTCCTCTCCCTTTTCGCCTCTCTCCACCTCGGTTCCCCGGTGATTTCGATTTCCTCTCCATTTTCGCCTCTCTCTACCTCGGTTGGCCCAGCGTCAGCAGTTAACACCAGAATAAATTATTTATCAGTCCGTGCTCGTGGGCACGTCGAATCAAACCACTTTCTAAGGGAACGCGACGGGATATCAGCTCTCCCCCCCCCCCCACCCCACCCGGCACGCCATCACACCTCGGATTTACGCGAGTGCAGAATATCCGAGAGGGACGGCTCGCACATCAACAGCAGCCAGACTGATGCACACACCAGTGGGGGTGCGGGGGGGTGCACACGCACACATTGCGGGGCCCCCTCTATTGGTGGGGTCTCTCGACGACAGTAACATAAACGCGTCCGCATAGGCCGGTCTATGAGCGTGCATGCGCGTGGGCTGAACTGGCAAAGCACTACGCGCCGTCTCGAATCCCTCACGTATGTACTATACACCAGCAATTCTACGCACTGTCATGCAAATGGCAGGCGAAAACAAAACAGACAACGGGGAACCTTCCCCTTGCCCTGTGTTACCAATACCCACCCTCGCTCGGCGAGGAAAACAAAATGCCCACTGCCTTCGTACCGGCCCCTACGATTCATGCGCGCCGTTGTTAACTTCGATATCTGCTACTGGTACTATTTGGTCGTACTGCCGCACCGCTCGCCACGCGCTCCGCAAGATGGCTACCGAAGACAAAACGAGAGCCGACAAACGGGTCGCGCGCACAGAGGCGAAGTGCGAGAGCATGAAGCCGAGCGACCACACAGATCACGTGCGGGCTAGATAAACTACGAGAGACGACGCCCAAGCAACGGGGACGATAAACCAAAGCACGTCAGCGCTTGCTTACGCTCACACAAGCAGAAGGAGACAGGCGAGCCGTTGATGGGAACAACGGCAAGCCAACCAACAACCTACAGCACGGAACGACACGCGATTCTGTGAAACCCACCGCATCCCCCAACCCCTCCCATCGTTGCACAAGAACAACGCACGAATGCCACCGGGCAGGCAAAACCAGGTTGTGCGACAATTCTCATGCCCCCCACAGAATTCTTTATCTCGCATCTCCGCTGTTCCTGCCCCACGATTTCGCTCGTTTTCGCTCAACTACCAGTTATGATGCGCTTCCTTCACCCCGAAGAAGCCTCGACACATCCTAACCCTCCTCGTCCTCCTACTCCTCTTCCCATGCTCGAACCCCTGCCGTTTTTCTCGGGCTAGGTACGGGTTGGTTTCCTCATGGCGCGTCACCCCCCTCTCTCCCCGCCCTATGGCTGCGCCCTCTTGCGTCTCCACCATCCCGTCTTTTTCTCTCACCGTCGCCGTGTTTTCATTTAACGGTTAGGTTGGGAGTAGGTTTGGTCCGATTTTGTGGCCCGATGCCGCTGTAAATCTTCACTTCCGGCTGTTCTTGCGGAGCGGGTTCTCGCGTGCGGTTAATCGCCTCTGGAGTTGGGCGTGGGTCATGTTGCGGCCAATCTTGCTGTTGCGGGCCACCGACACTTCCGCCAACTACAAAAGGAATAAGAGAGAGAGAGAGAGAGAGAGACAGAGACAAAGAGAGAAAGAGGAAGAGAGAGCGCGGCAACCACAGGGTGTGTGCGTGCGTGAGACAGAGAGAGAGAGGGAGAGAGAGAGACAAATGACAACGATTTCAAACGTTGCCAAAAGCAGCATGCAGCATGGTATCGGTAAAAAATCATCGCCGATACCGTTAACGAATTTGGACGACAACCACAACAATGCCATTGCCCCCTCAAGTAGTTGTCCCCCCCACACGCAGGCGCTCCCTGTTGTGACGGTCGCGGTCTCACTGCTCAAGCAAAAGAAGTAAAAGCTTGATACGAAAAAGGATCTGGCAGGGGGCGCACAGGTCCTAACCCTAACCCAAACTCCAACTTAGCCGATTCTATACTTTATCCAGTATGTTTGCTTACCTAGAAAAACCTGTGAATACTGTACTGCGTCTGTCTCACCTGGTCCCCCGTCATCCCCTCGCAAGCCTGGTGGAGGACCGCTTTCTTGTCCAGGTACTGGCGGCAGGACACGGGCAGCCGCGAGACCTCTTTCAACTCCTTTGCAAGCTTCACGCACTCCTCGAACGACACGTCGCTCGCGCTGTCGGCTGCGTCGGATCGCACGTCATGTTGCGCGTTCGTTGGCGCCGAGACGAAACACACGCATTGTGGGTCCAGCAAGGTCAATAGACGTATCATACGTGGTATGAACGAGTTTATAGGACACGTGTGCTGGCCAAAATGGAACAAATGCAATGTTCTGTCAGAAGACACGTGGCGCGCGCGTTTGTCCGTAAGAAACTCGCCGACTCGCGTGGAGGGGGGGGACACTCAGCCCCAGGCATGCATCCACACATCTAGGACACCAGGGCAATACGTGCTGCTAATGCTTGCATTGTGTCTCGGCACTACGATAGTCAAAAGTGCCCTCTTGTAGCAGAAGCCGCGAAGATCTGGCTCCAGAGCCCTGCACACCACAACTCTGAAACCAGTACTATGAATATGATGGCGTATGCAAGACCGCTGACAACTAGAAATATTGACAAGAGCAAAACCTCACGGCTGCTGTGGCGTTTAAGGGATACAATCGAGGTCAACCTCATCCAGACGGGGGGGGGCGGGGGTGGGTGCTGGCCGTGGGTGGGTAGATTCCATACTTTAATTCGCAGTGGTAAATCAACCGTCAAGGAGAAAGGAGGGGGCGGAAAAACGGGAGCGTCTTTCTTGGTACTTTTGTACGGTACTACTTGTAAGGTGTTAGCTCTGCTCGTGTCTCGTGCGCACCGCGTCGGCGGCGGCCGCAAAAAACAAACTGAAAAAAATGGAGCCGGGTCCGGGGAGTTGCGTAGCCGTGAAAAAAGGAAAGTGTTTCAAGACGAACACAACGTGCGATCAATACTATGAATAAGGGGAAAAGTAGATACTTTCGAAGCTATAGAAATCGCCGGGGGGCGAAGAAGTGCGGGCAAAAAACCAAGTTTCAATTGATAGGGCAATCACACCGGTTGTCCAAAAAAATTAAAGTGTCGGTGCTCGCAACAACAGCGTTGGCAAGTGTGGCTGGGACATACCAGCTTCGCTTGCGTGGTTCACAGCAACGCCGAAACCAAGGTTGCACGAAACGTCAAAACGAAAATTGCAGACCACAACCCTGCCGATGTGGAAATAAAACTACGCCGGGAAGGGGGGTGTACTCGCAATCCTGAAAAAAAGACCCCGGGGAAGCCATACGGAGAACCCCACAGAGGGAAGGGGGGGGGGGGGGGGGGCAGATAGGTACTCATGTAAACGCAAGCCGTACAATAGAATAGTCGTCAGACCATTGACCTCGCACCCCTACGGACGGAGCGATACTGCATGCCGGGTTCGGGCCGGCCCAGGCTACGCTTCACAGGGATGAACATGCAAGCTGGTCATCATCCTTACGTGTGAAGTTGTGTTTGAAGTTGAGCGGGGGTGGTGGCAACCGGACGCGAAGCGAGGATTCTTCGTGTGTGCCCCGCGCCGGCTCCATAAAAAAAGAACCAATGACAGAAAATAAACATGTACTTGTAGAGGATTAAAGAAAAAACTCGGGACCGGCTGTGAAGAGAATTGTAGCGCTCGGGACGGACACCATATGGCAAGATAGACACGGAGTTTTCGAAGTATTGACTTGTGCTCCCGACAACCAGACGGCGAAAAATGTCGAGCGGAGAAGGCCGTGCTTGTACAACTCAAAATCTGCCACAATTTTTCGCGGTGCTCAAATGTACTTCATCTTCAACACGAAGCACGTGTAGGCCATACATAAATGCATGTATGAATTATGGCCTGGGTTTGCATTTTGCGAGGTCTGTCTAGTACCGAACCCTTGCATTTTAGGACTCCGTCCGTCACCCTCTCGCTAATTTTGCACAAACGAAGGTCTCCCGATGGGGGCACTTGTTCTTCGCCCAACCATGTTTCGTTGCACATGCCTCTCGACAGAGTATGTCAAACCCCGTTATCTCTCTCTCTGTCTCTCTCTCCTCTGTGTACAGCAAATATACGCGGCCGGTACATGCATGCGTTCAACTTGCAGAACACAACAAACTGACTGACTACAACGTGGGTGGGATCTACGAACTCGGTGGATGCATACTTCTTGTAGAGCTCCGGGCTCTTCCCCCAAGTCGTTCGTGTTCCTGTTTCTTGAGTACAATTACACAGCGGGGAAGACAAAGGAGCTCCAAAAACAAAAAAACACTCTGCTGCGGGAAGAGCGGCCCCCAGATCAACCACCAAATGCTACACACTACCTCGTTTCACCTACGATGACGAATTAGAGTACCCTGAATTGTCTGTACCCGAGCACGCAGGAAAGCCTGCTGCGGCGTGACGCGAAAACGATGCGCGCACACACACATGTTCCTCCTCCCAGAAAAGGCACCTTCGTGCATATTTTCTTGGCGCAAAAAAAATACCAGATACCTTTGACCACTTGGGGTCTTAGAGACGACCACGCGCATAGAGAGGGCCAGGATCAGTCGCACGCCGACTGCCGCGCAAGCGGGAGCAGCAGAGGTGGTGCCCGTTTTACCCGAGATACGAGGAAGGACGGGATAGTTCGCGGTGTTACGCACGGGATGTCAAGGGACATACGCCGACGGCGGGCAACATGCAACGTTGAGAGGGGGAGTCTTGCGATGCGATGCGCACTGCTATTTATCCTCTCGATTCGGAATCACACCCCAACACAGCACAGCAGTTGCAGGAAAGGGAGCGCGGTAGGCCAAGGGAGTACCGGCCTCTCACGCGCCTTTTCTCCGAGCGATCAAGCGCTTAGAGCGCCGCGGTAGATGATACATGCCGAGCGGCGTCAGCTGGTGTTCGGCGGATTTGTGTGCACTCTGGGGTGATCAGGGAGGGTCAACCATTCGGAGCCTCGATACAGAACACGAGCATGCACAGCGCAAGAGTGTCGTTGAGAGGAACCCGCCAAAGCGAGGCAGGAGGCGAGAGCTCGCCAGCCGTTTTGCACGGGTGTCCTTGAGGCGCTCCACGAGTCCCTCCCTGGCCAGGGCATATGTCTCGCACTTCAAGTGCCGCTCCTTCCTCCTCTTCTTCAGACGCTCGCTCTCCGACACATTTGGTGCGCAAACAAAAAACGAAAAAAGAGGGCTCCGACCTTTCAGCTGTTTTGTTCACTCACCGTCCTTGGGGCGCTGGAGGATCGTCACCTTGCGGTCGATAACCTTAGAGTCCGCCATTGTCGTTGAGCGCTGTCCGTGCGTTTGCTGAAAATCCGTAGCTTAGCCTCGCCCTATTGTGCTTGTTTTGTGTTGTGGCGACACGAGGAAGGAGTGAGTTGAAGTCGGCCAACGCGAGACAGGCGGGGATGCGGGGACAAAAACGCCCCATCCCCGATCTCCGGAGTTTTTTTTTTGCTGGACAAAAGTACTGAGATGGATTGCGCTGGCTCTCTCAACATCATCACGCTCTCCCACCTCTCTGCTTTTGTAACTAAATAGCAGATGCCGTCTCGGCGGCACGGCTTTGCATCGAATGAAGGCAACCTTAGGTGTGCTGTGTTGTGTAGCGAAGAAGAGATACATTCACCACAGAGAGAGGAGCTGAGTGAGTTCGACTCCTCCTCATCATGATCCCATCACCCACCGCGGCGGCGTCTACTGCTGTAGTCATCGCGCTACTTCGGCACCACCATCGTAGATGCTGTGGGAGACTTTCGTTGTGATCATTCGGCACCCGTTTTCACTTCAACGGGTGTCAAGGGGCGTGCCCGAAAGAGCAGAAAAGCTCTCTTTGCTTGCAAGAACAAAGGTGGCACAACAGCCACGGTTGGTTTGCGGATGATCGCAAGCGAGGGGGCGCAAGCGGAGACAGACTTTCTTGCAACGCGCCCGCAATGAAGAACACCACGATCGTGTTACTCATCACATGCCGAGTGACCGCAATCAGGGACGACCGATATCGGTGACAAATGACCAGAGCTGCGAGTTCGTGTGTAGGGAGGGACGATGGGACGGACGGTGCGAACCAAAAGCAGAGTTCTGTCCTCGGAACCCCCCCACAGGAATTGCCCCGTTACAGGGAGCAAGATGTAAAGAAACTGCTTCTGTCCCACATCAACCAAAGCCCCCCCGTAATCTGCGCCAACACAATCAGCGCGTCGGCACAGGTCCAAAATGAACCAAACCAACATTGATTATGTGCGCATTGGGTTAATGGGAGGTACGGACTGCTGTGCTGTAGGAGAAATCTTTTAAGGAACACATAACAACGAGCGGGATTCCCGCACGAAAGTTTTCTGCCGCCCATGTGCACGTCCGGATTTTTTGCCCGCGTCTATGGGCGGTCAGAGTTAGATGCGGTCATAGTTCTTACGACAGAAACCTAAAAAATCATGGACGAAACAGAAAGCGGCCGTCACCCGAGGCCGGCTCGCAACAGAGAATATTCAAGGAACAAGCTGGCACCGAGTATCATGAAAAAAAACGCACTACATGCAATGTACACCTCTAGATCTATGTTCGTACAGCACTCCGTTCACAGATCTAAGCTAACGCAACACACACTGGCCCAAACTTGAAGAGGTAGAGAGAAGAAGGTTAGACGGCAACGCCCGCAAGAAACGATACTACAGCAGTACCGGGGGGCATGTAGATACAGGAGTAGACCATGCCCAAAATAGCAAGGTCCACCACAAATCCCGCTTTTTCTGCGTCACGCATCCATTGTGCCACAACCTCAACCTCGTACACCCCGCCCCCCTCCAATCCTTCTTGCGTTTTCCTCTCCCTGCTGCTGCAACAGCAGTGCACCTGTCGTCGAAGATAGCACGTCCCCATTCCGCTAACGTTTAGGTCTGGCGCACCACTCCACCTTCCCCTTCCTAGCTAGCCAGCCGAGCGGGTGCGGTTAGGCCCTTCGTGCCAACATAATATTCTTCCTACTGTCGGGATCCTGCTCCTCCTGCTTCAGCCATCACCGCCGCCGCTCCAACTTAAATTTCGGCCCTGTTGCTTTGCCGCTACTGCTACGGCCGTACACGGAACGTCTAGAACTTGTCCTGTGCTTCCCGCGCCTCCTGCTCGTAGCGTGCCTGCTCTCTTACATACTCTTCCTCCTCTTCCGCTTCTTTCTGTCGTGCCGCAAACAAGGGGGGGAGGAGGACATCAGGATAGAGAGGGGGGGAGAGGGGGGGAACAGAGGAGATGGACACAGACAAAGGCCGTACCAAAGCGCAGCTACGGCCAGAGAAATGGAAAAATAGCCAGCATCTTGCGGCTACAGAAGAAAACATACACGCCAATCAAATGCCATACCTGACACCCGCGATTGCTACAAAAAGCTGTCCAAAATTGACACCGATGCCCCGCACAACTTAACCGCGGTCGTGCCAAGACGTTAACACGACATTGGACGCGCCGTTCAAATCAGTCTGGCGGCCAAGAAAAAGCACAACGCACTTGCTTCGCACATGCTGCCGCAGTCGAGTGAAGTATCTACGGAGGGACAGAGCTGTCGGTGGCTGACGTTGTCGTGCACCGCGCGGCAACAAAAGGTACCATGTCCTTGAATGCGAGTGAAATTCTGCATCAGGCTCAAGTCTTTACGAATGCCCTTGCGCTCATGCGCACCGTTTTCCTCCTGTTGTACTTGGCGTCGAGCCTCTGGAACATTTCGGGGTATCTTCCCTTGTACTTCTTCAAAAGCTTGTCCACCTTTGAGGTCAGGAAGAGGGAGGGGGAGAGAGAGCCGCAAGCGGAGAGACGTAGACGCATCACAGGGTCAACAGGGGACGGTTACTGCCGTGGCTTTTACACATGTTGGCACGACGCCGCTTGTATCAGAAGTATCAAGCACGCATCTTTCGATTGCTCTTTTGACTTCAAACTCAGCCCTATACCGCTCGTGTTTGTGCCATTTCATGCTTGTCGTAATATTAGTCCAAGGGTATGGCAGTCCTTTTGACTCTCTTCGAACCTTGGGGCCTCTCGAATGGCGCCTCGTATCCACATGCCTTAGAACGCCTCCCTGAATTATCATGTTTCAAAGCGGGATGCGGCCACGCACCCTCGTGGCCGTTTTCTCTCGCGGCTGTTGAGCACTGGAGTCGATCTACATATTGCCGTTAATCTTATAGAAAGCATTGGACTTGCAACACCTGAGTCTTACCGTCGGAGAAATTCGTGACACAACATCTTAGGTCGTGTTCAACTGACGTAAATCCGTGATACCTGTTCACCCACCAGCCCACGTGCAAGTGCAGCAGACGCGCTGGTGGCCTTGCACATGTCGTTTGTTCTCTGCCTCTCCTTTCTCTCTCTCGCCAAGCATATGCTCAACGCCGGTCACACACGATCACAATTGAGCATTTAGCGCAGAACCCGTATGACGCCGGTCTAACAACAGCGGCGTCAAGTGACTACCGTAGACGACACAAGATAACACACCCACATAAGAAACAACACCTCCCACAGAATACGACACCCCGATCATAACTTTGGGGGTTTCTGACAAACCATCGATTTATCACCGGGGCTACATAAGATAACACACCCCTGGTGTTACGCCGCATACATTCACGGGGCTCCTCCTTCTATCACCGGGGTGATACAAAATCTGCCCCGTGGACATGTGGGCATCTCACACACACAACATCTGCGTAACTCTCTTCTGGTCGTACCCAGTATCAAGGTATGCAGGAGGCTACTTTTTTGTGTGAGGGGCAAGAGGGATGCCGCACTCTGTGGCCAACGAGTCATGGTGCTCAGGAGTGTCGTCACCTCCGCTGAATTCCTTCGTTTTTACCACATTCCACAGAACCACAAGTCATGAAGTGTTCGTACAGGCATTGCTATCACACCCCCGCAATACCCACCAAGTGTGCGGCAGCAGCGGTTCAACTCTACAAGAAGTGTTATAACACCTCCTTTTTATAACACACCCAAACATACCCTGTGGGTATTCGGACGTGCTATCACACCCCCTTTTTGTCAACCCCCTCATTTATCACACCCCAAACACACCCCGTGCGCGTTCGGACGTGCTATCACACACCCTTAGGGGCCTCTGCGAGCTGCACTTTATCACCCGGGCTACACAAGATACCACACCCAGTGACAATATTTTTAAAGCCCAAAATGTTATCACCGGGGTGTGTTATCTTGTGTCGTCTACGGGTATTGTGCCCGAACAATACATGGTACGCGTGTTTCTGTCCTATCCAGCCGTATTCATTCTCGGACCATGTATACCCCATCCCCTGCTGCGCTAGACTGCGACGAGGGTGTGTCTCATACGCCACGCTTTCCCCCCGCTCTCCATTCGGGGTAGCCCCCCCCCCCCCCCCCCCC